CATTGCAGGGCTCAGGACTGCTCTGAGACACTGCCACCCAGCGGCACCTCTGAAGCATAACAGCACACAGAGAGGGAACAGGAAACCCAGTTTTATAAGCCAAAGGATGGAGTGGGCAGCGGGTGCAAAAGCTGGCCTAGAATCATGAGGCTAAGTCACAGAAAAGCATGCTCCGTGGCACGGAGGCAAGGGGGCTAGCTTGGAGATGGCTAAATAGGGCAGGTGAGAAAAACAGGAAGAAAGGCAGCTGGAATATAAAGAGAGGAATAAAGAAATGTAATAACATGGAAAGCATGAGCAACCTCTTTTCTAAATGGAAGAAATATGCACTTTCTCTAAGTGAGGGCTGGAGCGAGATGACCGAAAGATGAGTCAATGGAGCTCTTTTTTGGAGTCGGCCTCAGTTCAGATTACTCAGCATCTCACGTGTCTGGGCTCTTAATGATCCTTGGGCTTTGTGACTTTGGGGAAGTCATTGTACCTCCGTTTTGTGACCTGACCTCTAAACAGCTTCTCTGAGCCCTAAATTGAGTATGTTATTAAATACCTGAGATGCTGAGTGAACAAGAAACAAACAGAAAATGTAAGCTGTGAGCAATCCTTACATCTTGTGTTTGACTTCAAAGGACTGTAAGGGAGAACCTGAAAAATACATCCACTACACCTTTGGTGGCTCAGGACTTGCCGGGAGAGTGCATGGAAGGGACCCCCATCCCACAGGGCGTGGGTGACTCTATCTGCCATCCAACCTCCCTGAATCTCGGCAGCGAGGGCCAGTGCACTGAGACCAGTACTTTCAGTGCGGAGGGGAGGGGTTTAGAAGGAATCAGCCTTCTCTAAAATCGAAGCTAAACCAGAAGCTAATGGGTTAGTAATTTAACAAGCCTCTCTTTTCGGCAATATTTTCATTTTAAAAAGAAAACCTCTGTTAGAGGGCAAGTAATTCCAAAGAAATTAGATTTTGCTGGTTGAAATGTAAGAATCCAGGCAGGCGGCGAGGGAAATTTGTTTCCTGGCTTCTCCAATCTTACCTGATAGTTCCCGTCTTGCCTCAGTCCTTAATATTTCTTGGGAAAAAGCATGCGTGATCACTCTTTTAAAAACTGTTACAATCACTTTCCTATCCAAGGTCTGAAAGAAGATTTGGGCTCAGGCTCCATTTGAAGAAATCCAGGTTGTATTTCCCCCAGCACTTAGGGTTTGATGGTTTCTGCTTATCTAAAGTGCTCACATTGCAAATATGAGCAGCAGGGCTGGGGATTTAAATTCTGTCTTGATGGGAATTTGAACTGAAATACTCTGCCCACTGCCACTTTATAAGCTGGGAATCATCAAGCTAGCTACAAATACCTCGAGGGGTCCTTGCAGTTGCTCAACGTAAATCAGCAAAATGACAGGCAATTGACTTTGAAGACAGCGCTCACATGGCTGAGTGGCTGGAGCTGCTGGAAGCAGATGAGGGCATTTTCCTGTAAACATGATTGTGATTAGCACCAGAGTAAATAGCGAATCGGGCTGTAACTGTCAGACTCAGCCTGAACTGGATTTTTCATTAGGTAGAAATCAACATGTGACTCAGGGTAGCAAAGCTGGCAATTCTAAGAAACTAGTTTCTATTTCAACACCTGGTGAATACTTCTGATTTTCCTAGAAGGTAAGCAAGAAGGAAACTTGATTTTGCCATGTTTTCATGTAGGGATAAAATAGGAGTGTGGGAATCAGTCCTTTCACTGCAAGAGCAATTCAGCTTATATTCCATGCTCAGAGGCTATCTAACAAAATGTCTGGCATAGCTCAGATTTTGGCTAAGTGGAAAGGTGCACATTTGAAAGGTTGACCCTACCAATGTCATCTGAGGTCACTAATTCATATACCTAAAGAGCCCGGGAAGGCAACATCAGTAGCTAAGCTGGCCGGAGGGGCTGAGGCCAAGTGGTGTGTGCCGGCCCTGTCCAAGGAGGCAGGCTGACCCTACTCCAGCACAGACTGCTGCCAACTGGGGCAGAAAGGCTTGGGTTGTCATATCAACTGGTTTTTCAACAGACGCCAGAAATCGGGTTTTTCATGTAAAACATCAGGTGTGCCAAATCCAACATGTCTACAAACCCCAAAGCATCTAACCTGTCTGTGACCTAGTACAGGTATCGATTGACTTACGACCTATGCAACTTACGACCATTCGACTTTACGACCACAATCGCTAGCCACGACTGCTCCGCGTCTGGCAGCGCAAACATTGCCCAGCTGGGCGTACGACAGTGCGGACCAGCTTCCGGCAGCACTACCATCTCCGCGTTCATATAGCCTACTCAACTTACGACCAAATTGTGTTACGACCGGTCTGTCGGAACCAATCATGGTCGTAAGTTGAGCACTAGCTGTATTGGGCTACCTTCATGTTGGATTTCTCCAGACTCATTCTAGCTATACCAGGTCTCTAAGCCATTTCAAAGGATTTCCAGAGAGAGCTTGCATAGACTCTCTTAGCAAGGAAATGAAAAATCTATCCGCTCTCCAGATCTAGAAGGTTTTTTTTTTTTAAATTTCTAATTTAGATCTTTCATGCTACAACACAAACCACTTATTTTTATTCTCAATCAATGGAAATGAATCAACGGAAATGATAATCACAACTCATATGGGAATTTTAACTCAACTGGCACTGAGCAGAAGGAAATCTGTTAAATGCTCTGGAGCTCTGTTCTCTCAAAGGTAGCTGTGTTATAGAGGAATGAGAACAGTCATAGCTCTGGTTGGCCTAGGTCAGGCCACCTCCTGCTTTGAACCTCAGTGTTCTCCTTTATAAAATGGATTTTCTCTAACTCGTGGGACCTGTACTGTGAAGAGTGGTCACTGGCTGACTGCAGGAAGATGTTTGCGTCCTCTGGCGTCAGCTCATTTGGCTGTGAATCTCAACACCACCACTTACTCTGTGTGTGACTTTGGGCAAATTTCTTACCCTTTCTAAACCTGGGCATCCTCATTTCATTTTTTTTTTTTTTTTTCTAAGACAGGATCTCTTTCTGTCACTCAGGCTGGAGTGCAGTGCTGTGGTCACAGCTCACTGCAGTCTTGAGCTCTTGGGCTCAAGTGATCCTCACACCTCAGCCTCACAAGTAGCTGGGACTACAGATGCATGCCACCATGCCTGGCTAATTTTAGAATGTTTTAGGCCATGTAGCCCAGGCTGGTCTTGAACTCCTGGGCTCAAGCGATCCTCTCCCCTTGGCCTCCCGAAGTGCTGGGATTGTAGGTGTGAGTCACTGTGCCCAGCCTGGGTGTCTTTGTGGGAGGGGTGCAGGGGCAGGGTCTCACTCTGTTGCCCAGATTGGAGTGCAGTAGTGTGATCTCTGCTTCCTGAAACCTTTGCCTCCTGGGTCCAGGCGATCGTCCTCCTTCAGCCTCCCGAGTAGCTGGGATTACAGGTATGCACCATCATGCCCAGCTAATTTTTGTATTTTTGGTAGAGATGGGGTTTCACCATGTTGGCCAGGCTGGTCTCAAACTCCTAACCTCAAATGATCTGCCTGCCTCAGTCTCCCAAGATGCTGAGATTACAGGTGTGAGCCATTGTGCCCAGCCTGGGTGTCTTCATTTTTAAGACAGAGGTAAAAGAGTGCTTTCTCCATAGCATTGTGGAGAGAAGTAAATGGAAAGCTCTAAGTCAAAAGCGTGGCTCAGGCCCTGGCCCTCAGAGGAGCTGCAATAATAATGATGAGGGATATCCCCTCGGTGATAATGATGAGGAGGGGAGTCTAGGATGATCCCCGGTTTCTGGGTGACTGGGTGGACGGGGGAGCATTATTCAAGACAGATGATACCGGTGGAAGAACTGGCCTGGGAGACAGGTGATTTCTTCAGTTCAGGACATACTGTACTGAGTTGAAGTCGTCTCAGAACTTTTCAGGAGGAAAGGCCCAGTTGGAAGTTGAGAAGTGGCTTTGAATACTTGGCTGGAAACAGTCTCAGCTGTAAGCAGCAGCGGCAACTGTGCATGCGTGAGGATCCCTGGAGAGTGTGTAGCTTGAGAGGAGAAGAAATGCTAAGAGGACCAAGACTCCCAACTGGGCGTTAAATGCTGCGGCAAGCCAGGAAAGACTGAGATTGTGCATCCTGAGAGGTCAGAGGAAGACCTGCAGAAAGGAGCTTCACGGAAGCCAACAAGAGAAATAGACGGTACGTTTCCATCTTGAACGGCTTTACAATCTGATGCAGGGGCCAAAACGGAAATACACGCAGCAACCAAAGGACTTTCTCAAGACAAAATACCAACGAGGACCAGTTAAAGCAGCCCCAAATAGTGTGGACATGCCAGGGGGACTTCAGCGAGGAGACACGGAGGGAGGCAGGCAAGCAAGATGCCCCACGGGCTGTGGTGAAGATGTACTTGAGCTGGTTTTGCAGGAAGGAATGAATCTAGGCTGGCCAGAGGCTGGGGAGGGGCATCCAGGTCACGGCTGGGCTGGAGACCAAGGTTCTGCGGGGTGGAGTCAAGGTTCTGAGGGGTGGAGCAACCCCTGTTGAGAAATATAGATGGTTTCAGGCAGAAATGTCAAGGCATTTTGCTCTGATGGAGCAAATATTTTCTTTTAAATAGGGACTTTCTTCTCTTGTGTCAATTTTCTTTTTAAAAATTTCCTTTATTATTGGGTTCCATTCTTCAGCTCCTGTTGTTCTAGAAGCTTGTTTCCTCCTACCTCTTCCCTTTCGGTGATAGGCACATTTGAATGTCCCCAGCCAGAGGCAGACACTTTCCAGGCTGGTTTTAATTTCTCTGGGAGCCTGAAAGGTTGGAAAGAACATGAAATCTGAGCCCAGGGCCCTGTGTGGAGCTGCCGTGAAACTGTAAGCAAATCATGGCATTCCATTGCAGTTACCTCTGGAATGGAGAGGATGCTACTCTGCTCCTTCAGTTTGTGACGCATGCTACGTGAGGTCATCTAAGGGAAGCCATTTGGGAGCAAGGAAACAGTGACAGCACGGGGGTAAGGAGCTCATATAACTCCTTGGCCCACACGGGATTGAGCTTCAGGGGCCACTGCGGGGTCGAAGTCAGAGGTTTTGTGGGGTGTCTGTGGGGTGGAGTCAGGAGCTCTGTGGGTGGAGTCAGGGGCCCTGTGGATGGAGTCAGGGCTCTTCTATGGGTGGAGTCAGGGCTCTGTGGGTGGAGTCAGAACTTTGTGGGTGGAGTCAGGGCTCTGTGGGTGGAGTCAGGGCTCTGTGGGTGGAGTCAGGGCTCTGTGAGTGGAGCCAGAACTTTGTGGGTGGGGTCAGGGGTTCTGTTGGGTGGAGTCAGGGCTCTGTGGGTGGAGTCAGGGCTCTGTGAGTGGAGTCAGAACTTGGTGGAGTCAGGGCTCTGTGGGTGGAGTCAGAACTTTGTGGGTGGGGTCAGGGGTTCTGTTGGGTGCAGTCAGGGGCACTGAGCTTCTTATCTGAAGCTCACTGGAGGGAGTCCGTGGCTCTGGCAGGGCTATGGTTGTGGGGTACTGAAGCTGCACTAGGGGCTGGTGCCTGCTTGCTGACTGGTACTGGGCATTCTGGGAAGTGATGTGGGGAGAAAAGGCCAACCTCTCTCTCTACCTGTTTAACGCCCACAGCATGGCTACAGAGTGGAGAAGGTGCGGAAGCCGACCCCCGTCCTGAGAGGATGGCGGGGACCTGGGCCTGTCAGCACGGTGCTCTTGAATCTCAGGAGAAAAGGCCTAGGACGCCGAGGGATGGTGCATGCTGGGCCCTGGCAGATGGATGGAGGGATGCCGAGACGGGCGGAAATTCCTGGAAAATGAAGAGAGCACTATTTCAGAGGGGAACATCCCTGCGTCAGAGGAGGCAGCTGCTGAACGTTGCTGAAAGGGAAAGGAACCTGCAAAACAGTGATGGTGGCAGCAGTGCGGCCGCGGAAGGCGGGCAAGCCTGTGCCCTGCGGCCCTGAACCTGCACCCGCCCCGTCCTTTCCTTGGGGTGAGGGGACCAACCTGGCCTCCCTGCAGGGGCCTGGGCATAGGGCCTGGGGCACGGGACAGAGCTGCACAGGGGGGACCTGCCTGCGCCGGACAGCTGGGCCCACCAAGGCCGCCAGACAGCCCAAACCCTTCCCAGGCTGCAGGGAGGCCCCAGCTGGTGTGGCCTCAAACCCGGCATCTGTTTCTTCACTCCTGGGGCTCCCTTTGAACTTGAACCTTGCAAAGCCCAAGTAACAATAAAAAAGCCAAGGAACAGGTGCTGCGGCAGAGGACGGGGGACAGGCCGTCTGGGAGCCTCAGGGGGTGCCGCCTTTGTTTCAGCGCCTGCAGTCTCCGGCTCCCGCATGAAACTGCTCGGGACCCACGTCAGCGCCAAGTTCCAACGAGGAAAATATAGCAGCGCACAATATGTTGTTTTGGCAGAAAGCTATGAATTTTAGTATGGAATGTCTGTCACAGGGCCCATCCAATTAACTCACTTGTCGAGAAATCAGAATAAATAGTTGAGAGGAGGCGACTGCAGCTTTGCTCAGACCTTGATTTCTTATTTGTTTTCATGGTTAAGCAGGTCTGCAGTCACCAGGATGTATATTTAGGGCAGGGAAGGAGAGAATACGCATCTTCACGGTGGTTCTCCCCTTGGAGGGAAAGAAGGGTACTTTCTATAATTTTTGGAGGAGGGAATTCTGATGAGCTTCTGTTTTAGAAAAGCGTTATGGAGGCAAGCCTGGCAAACTCCCTTGAGTTTTAGACTCAGTGCCGTTGAGTCTGAGACAAGGACTGGGCTCCACCAGAGAAGTTTCTTTTCCTCCTTAGGTTTTGGCTGTGCGGGGTGAGTCAGGGTCTCTGTTAGGTGGAGTCAGGGCTCTGTGAGTAGGTAGGCAGCCCAACCTGACCCTACATCTGAGCCTGAGCCGAGCTTCCAGACTGGGAGGACATCAGGTGCTCTGGGTTAGCAATGACAGCTGGCACTTGGGGTGCTGGCATGGCCCCCAGAGTGCCTGCCATGCCCAGAAACTTTGACATCTGTGTGGAGTCCCTGCAAGAAGCCCTGCTGCACCGTTGAGGCCCTCGGGAAAGAAGCACCTCAGATATTCAGCAAGGAGGCTTCTTTAGGAGGGCACTGGCCATGCCCATGTTCGTTCGGTGTGAACTCTCAGGGGCAGGAGCTCACTGCAGCCCAAGGCAGAGTGCTCTCCCTATACCCACAAATTGCCAATTATGATTTACAGATATTTAGCAGATAAAACTCTGGGCAGAGAATGACTCTTTTCTTTGAGGAGTCTTCTTGTGGCTCGCTGAATTTAGAGCCTTACTTGCTACAGCAGAGATGAAGCGCAAAGCCAGGGTATACAGGGTATACTCAGCCTGCACTCTGAGTTTTGAAGGAACGTACCATGAGCCAGTTTTATGTAGCCAGAGGGACAGCCAGGGGAATACATTTCAGCTGTCCAAGAAAAAACTTGGCCCGTAGCTCCCACACACCTTTTTCCAGCCCAGTGCTTCTGAAAACCACACTCTCTCTAATCCCAAGGGCCCCTGGCCTGCCTCCCCTTTTAAGCATTCACACTCTGGTGGGCGTTGTGGGGCTTCACATCAATATTTCTCCAATAGTGGGGCAAGAGCCCAATCCGAGGCAAAAACATTTTTTGACCTTTGCTCTCCTGAGCAAAATGCCCCCAAGTAATGAGGACCTGGAAGAAGGGAAGGGCACCTTCTCTGTAGCCTGCCATCCACATCCCAGGCTGTCAGTCAGGAGGCAAAGGCACAGTCTTCAAGGGCTGCAGACTAAGTTGGTCTTTGTGCTCCGGGGCTGCTTCCATTTCAAAGGCTTCACCAGCGAATCCCGTGAGTCATTCCTGGAACCTTCAGGAGTCTCCATGGTGACGGGTTGAGTGGGCCGGGGGAAGCCAGCATTCACTCCATTTCCAACAAGTTCCTCTCTTCTGATTTTTTTTTTTCTTTTTTTTTCAATAGAGACTGAGCCTGAGGCTTGAGCTTTTTTGTTTTTTAAACAAATCACAAAATAAGAACTCCCTAAGCCTTTTTTCCCCATTTTATTTGAAGCCCATTCTAGATAAATATATAATCTATTCTTACTTTCTATGGAGACCATATAAAACAACAAAACACAACAAAAACTGAGCATTTGCTTTTGTTTTTTCTTTTCCTGCAAGTGTTTTAAGAAGAGATCTGGTTTTCTTGTTTTCCTCAGTGAAAAGATGAAAAGGCTCTGGGTAAATGGTTGTAGTCTGAAGCAGAGATGCCTGCAGCACCAAGCCCAGAGGAAGGCAGGCCTCTCTAGCCTACCACTGCCCCGTGGAGGTCTACCAGGAGTCTGAAAATGTTACCCAGTCATGGTCAGCAAAACTGTGCATATTCCTTTAATCCCCAATGTTCTTCATACGCACAGACCTCTCCTTCATTCGGTAATGCTCCAGAAAAGCGTAGTATCTGGGGTTTGTTAGGGAATGAGCACTAAACGTGCTCATTTTAGCATTTTAGCTACAGGAAAATGTAGCTAAATCTACAGGAATCTATGGGATTTTCCCACATGGCACTAAATATAAAAATCTGAAACCAATTTAATGTGATTTGATGAACATACATAATCTTTTGGGGATATAACTCCTGTGTCAAATTTCATAATGGTGTGTGGCCCCAAAGTTCCCACGTCAGAGGGTGATGATGAGTTTTCAGTAACATTGAAAACTTGAATTCTGCTGACTCTGTTATCCCCTCAGGCTGAAGCAGGACATGCAGCTTCCTGAACTTCTGCCCCCAGATTTCTGGGGATCTCGGGGGCATCTCACATGTGCTCCGCTCTGGTGGGTGCAACTGATCTCTGCTGGTGGCCATTGCAGGCTTAGAGTGCCAAAGCCTTGCCCGGGACTTGGGGGAGGTGAACAGCTCTCTCTGCTGTGTTCGTTTCTGTACGGGACCGCACAACATGGCTGCTTGGGCCCTCATTGACCAGCCATCCAATTTTTGCCTCCAGTCTGTGCTATCCTCCCTCACCCCCAGCCTTGCCCCCAGGGGATAGCTCCAGGAACATGTCCGGTAAAAGCCACATCTTTGTATTTGAAACCCTATTTTACTCTGACAGCTGAGATTTTTCTAACAGGTCAAGCTCACCGAATCTCACTGTGGGTTCTTAGAACATGGTTTCTTAAGCCGTGAAGGCTTTTTCAAAGATGATAAAAGCCACAGAAATTCTCTCAGAAAAGTGAACGTGTAGGTAGCATTTCACAGACAAGCTCAGGAGTTTCTGGGCCTTCAGGAGAGAATCCTTCCTCACAGGAATTTTCCTCTCGAGAACTTTCTCAGCCCCTGCTGTGGATGTCAGTCCAGCCTGACTCACTACTGAGCCCGATACGCTCAGTCACAGCAGAAGCCTCACTGTGGGTGTGTCCCAGGCCACGCGGAGGCTGCCACTACACGCACAGTGGTTTTCAAAGCACATGGCCCACATGTGCTGTAAACACATAAGCATGTAAAAAATATGACTTTCTACTCAAGCCTGTTCTTCAAGACCTCTCAAAAAGCTCTAATTAGAAAAACAGAATATCAAGGCCCAATTTCAAATCCTAGCGAGCCCAGGAGTCCAGCACCTGGAGTTGGAGATCCAAAACGGAGTGGCCTCGGAAAAAGATATGTGTGGGAGTCCTAATCTAAATCAGATTTTCAAAAATTCACACAAATTTTTCTGCCTATTTTTTGCTTGAAGTGAAGTCACTTTTGCTCTGTTGCCCAGGCTGGAGTGCAGCGGTGCCATCACAGCCCACTGCAGACTCAATCCCTGGGCCCCAGTGATCCTCCCACCTCAGCCTCCTGAGTATCTGGGAATATAGGCTCATGTCACCGTGCTAGGCTAATTTTATTGTTTTTATTTTTTGTAGGGACAAGGTCTTACTGTGTTGCCCAGGCTGATCTTGGACTCCTGGATTCAAGCAGTCCGCTTGCCTTGGCCTCCCAAGGTGCTGGGATGACAGGTGTGAGTTTCAGATAAGTAACTTATCTCCAACCCGTCCTCCTCTGCATATTGTCCTTCAGCTCCTGAATATCGGGATGCTATTTGTGTCAGTTTCCAAGGGCTCCTGTCACAAAGGGCCACAAACTTGGTGACTTAAAACAACCAAAATGTATTCTCCCACAGTTATGGGGGCCAGATGTTTGAAATAAAAGTGTTGGCTGGTGTTCCTCTGAAGGTTCTAGCAGGGCCCCTTCCTGGCCTCTTCCCCCTGCGTGGCTCTAGTTATTTGGTGGCTGCGGCCGCATCACCTGCCTCCATCCTCTCAGGCCTTCGCCTCCTCCCTGTGTCTGTCTCCTCCGTTTGTCTCATAGAATGTTAGTCACTGCGTTTAGGGTTCACCTGGCCCATTTAGGATGATTTCATCTAAAAATCCTTAGCTTACTTATATCCACAAAGACCTTTTCCAAAGAAGGTCACATTCGCAGATTCCAGGGATCAGGTTTTGGGCATACTTTTCAGGGGCCACCATTTAACCCACCCCAGTATTGCTCATTTGTATCTCCAGCATCTCATAGTGCCTGCACGCAGACTTCAGCAGTCACTCATGTGTTTGTTTCTGATGGTTTAGATTTAAACTTGGACCCAGGCACCCTATCTGTTCCATCCCCAGGTCTGAATAAAGGGTGATATGTGTTTGGAATAAAATTAGTGTCTTTGGCACTCCTTGACTATGAAAATAGCCACTGGGCTAATTAGGGTAAATAGTTTCTTGCGACGCTTAGGGATTTCTGTTAGAGTATTCTATGCTATCAACTTATCATGTGTGAAATGCAGAAATCACATACGCATAAGGCAATATGTTTGAAGGTCTTTTATAAAAAAATCAGATTTTATTTATGAGATAACCTTTCACTTATGTATTTAATAATATTTATGAGGATACAAAGATAAGTATTTACAGGAATATAACTACATATTTATATGTAGATGATTTTATTTCCATCATGTGGCATTTCATTGACACCTGATACTGACTTCCAAGTGTTCATTTAGATGATATGCATACAAAGGAAGCGACATGCTTTTTCTTCCTTGAAAAATATAGCTGAAGGCCGGGCACAGTGACTCACGCCTGTAATCCCAGCACTTTGGGAGGCTGTGGCAGGCAGATCACATGAGGTCAGGAGTTCGAGACCAGCCTGACCAACATGGAGAAACCTTGTCTCTACTAATAATTCAGAATTAGCCGGGCATCGTGGTGCATGCCTGTGATCCCAGCTACTTGGGAGGCTGAGGCAGGGGAATCACTTGAACCTGAGGGGCGGAGGTTGTGGTAAGCTGAGATCGCACCATTGCACTTCAGCCTGAACAACAAGAGTGAAACTCTGTCTCAAAAAAATACACACACACACACACACACACACACACACACATATACACACACACATATAGCTGGGTGTGAGGTCCCTAATACAGAGTAAATGAATATAATCAAGTTTACCCTACTCTGGAGTACAAATTTTAAGCATTTATATTAAAACCTA